ATAATTACACCTTAAACAATAATCTTCAGCTTCATATTGGTGAGTACAAAGTACTGTCAATTTTGTTTTTCCCCTAGAATTTTAGGATGATGGTACACAACATCTGTACATCTGTACATACACATCCTACCCGTACACAACAGGTTATTTGTTCAGTCTCGGTCTTGAGGTGTCCTGAAAGCATGTGATTGTCTGTACTAAAATGTTTAAAAGTAATGTAGTTAACACTTGTTTGACTGATTACTTAAGACACAATTACTTTGAAAACATTTCAACACTGTAAGTCTACATTAATATTTTATAGATCATCTGCTGCAACAGCTATTTGTACTGCAGTGTTTACAAAAATATAAACAAACACCTCAGCCACTTAATACTACAAACCACATACCAGACAACACAACTGTACAAAATGAGCATTGAATTCTATCAATCATTTATAAAGTTATTGAAAATTAAATTTTATTTACATGGCAAGTTGTATTAAAAATTTGATCTTACAAAGATTAAAATGTATAATTGTTTGAGCATTTATAATAAATGCATTTCCTATCATGTTAATATGTGTTCATGGGAACTCCTTCATTAGGTAAAATGACTGAGGACAGATATTGCAAACTTGTACATTTGAAAAATATTTATTTTTAAATTTAGAACAAATTTACTTTTTTTGTATTAAAAGAAAGACCTTTCAACCACTGGAATTCTTATAAATTCTGCCAGATAACAGCCAATGCATTTTATGAAATATGACTACTATAGTGGAAATCAGGTAATATATACTATGCTACATTAAGAATACAGTGATAAACAATTCATCATGTCATCCGCTAGACTATTTCAATTCAGTTCATCAAGTCTCAATGCTGTACTTCAGTCATGTATTCACAGTTGTTATTTCACAATACACTTATTAATAAAGTAAAAAATACAAATAAATGCATGTATTTGTAAGTTATGAGGATGATAAATTATGAAAATGACTTTGATGAGATGAGCATGAATATGATAATGCTAAATTATAACATAGTTTAAAATGAGAAATACAAGTATAATATTTCATTGCAAAACTGTGTTCATGACAAGTTTGTGCAATCATAGCTGTTATAATCCAGCTCAGAGTAATTTATGTAGTTTACCAGAAACTGCCATATCCCACTGAAAAAAAAAAATTCAGCTGGAAATATTCCAAGCTCTTTTTTTTTTTTTTAATAAATTAACATCCCATTTACAAAATTTCAGTGAAATGCTTCAACTAAAAACTTCTAATTGTATAAAAGTAACCTCTGCATTAGACATACAGTTTCCCCTTTAACAATTATTGTAATTGTCAAGAGAAAAAATATTGTCGTATAAAACTAACAATCTACTCCCACAGCAGGGAGCCTCTATTTACTCTCACTAAACAATAAGTAAAATTTGGAAGGAAACCTGGGTGTGGTTGGGAAAACTTGCATTATAAAAGTTCCTAAAATTACTCTTAACAATAAATGCACATCCAGTCTGTACACAAACACAGTGCACAGACAAGAACACATGTGATTAGACCAGTAAAACGAGAGTCTTGGAGATTTCAAGGGTCGTACCCCATTGTAAGTGGGTCCATCAAATTCAACATTATTTATTATATATTTGCCACATGCTGATAAAGTAGTTGCAAAATGTCCATACATTTATAATATAAGGCTTGTTTCCCCCAAGTTACCAAAGGAGTCTTCATATAAATTTCCATAACTCTCCCTTTGCTGCTCAAATCAGAAAGATTCAGTGTGATTGAGCACAGAGACCTGAAACTGCTACAGCAAGTAACTCTTCCAACAACACCAAGCTGGCAATGTATCAGCCTGACACTGATTGTAGTATCCTCTCTCTCTCTCAGTTTTGAAGTTCATTTTAATGAAGCAAATAATGCTGCTTCTCGTGTCTTTTGTTTTCTGAGATAGAAGCACTGCAAAGCATCACTAATGATTCACTGTTTATTACCACAGTACACATGCTGAGTTTATCAAGACAACACTGACTAGGCAACACTCAGCCACCCCTCATAGTATAAAATAATGAGTCATTCATCTTCGTCACGTATTCATTGCTAATCCAACTGGATAAAACAAAATTATCACCCCCAAAAAATGGAAATTATCACCTGGGGAGACTATTAGTGATAATCTCCCTGCAATATCCTTGCTGTATTCTCACTTTGCCACCTTAAGTGTACATTTTACAATTAACTTGTATTTCTTCTGTCTGTAAATGCAAAGGTGGTGTCATACTGAGCAACTAACTCGATAACAAATGCTGGTTTTCCTATAAATACCTATCTTTCTTGCATGGTAAATACTTTCCTTACCATTCACATAGGAGTATTTTTACCCTGCATAGTAGAGTATTTTCCCCTCAATATAGTTTTCATGGTATCAAGAAATGCAAGGGCACAAACTGATTGGTTATACAAATGAATGAAACACTTTTAAGGGTTAATGAGATTAGTCAAATATTGGCATTAAATATTTCCTATTATCATCAATTTCTTTACAACATCAATCTATACAAAAATGTGATATGCAAAACTTTATGAGAAGTCATAGTTAAAATTGTGCCAGATAAACTTGTAATATATATATTGGTTATTACTCTGATTGTATTAGGTTCACCACATTTTCTTTTGTTTCATCTCATTTTTGCTTCGTTATAGTTAATTTAATAAAGATAAAATATCTTATATTTACATTATAGGTTTAAACCCTTGTAAAGTGACAGGGCACTTTACCATGATGGCTACAAGCCAGACTACACTCTACATTACTTGACTTTAACTTTATATCGCCAATATGCAAAATTTTTTCCCTTTATTAAGTATATTAAATGAGTATTGTTATAATCACAAATAGATAAAATACAATTTATGGACAAAAGAAACCATCATCATCATAAGGAGAATTGTCATATATAATAATATGTGACAAACATTCACCAGTAAAGAGCTTTCCTTTTCTTAACTATCACACGTTTACAATAAATATAAAATTATATTTAATCATGTTGCTGCAAGTTAATCTAAAGTTGCTTAGTGCGATACCAACCTAATGTGAGTTGAAGACAACTAATAACTGAGGAGAATTGGAAGCACCACAGTTCACCATTTCTATAGATTGTTTCCTAAATTCAACTCGTTTGTTTTCGTCTTTGCACTCAAAAATTTATACACATATATACATATTTGTTTTCAATTTGATAAAAACCATGCATACAGAGGTCACTATAGAGTTCACATCATGCCATTCCCAAAGAAACATTTCGGTAACATCCAGTACACATTAAGCACATCACTCAAGGTCTCTAAATTTTTCAGTAGCTCAAATAAAATCCCAGGATTCAGAGGCCCTTTTGAGTAATAAAAAAAAATATATAAAATAATATAAAAAGTATTTCATGGTTTTGAACTTCTATTAGTATGTTTATTATCTACATTTACCACATACTGCCCAAAGTACACATGTGGCTGCATTTTTATACAAGACAACACTGAAAATTTCACTTTCGACAAAAACACTAGCACAGGAAAGAGTTATGGATCGAGATGGACCTCAGCAATTGAACTGGTTTGCTGTGATGGCTGAGAGGTCCTTCATGAGTCCTTCAAGATTGGCCATTTCCTGAGATAATTCTTCCGTTGAGTAACCATGAAGAAGGGCTTCATTTGCTTCCTGTAAATAACAATATCTTAGTTTCTTATTAAAAATTATTAAAGAAGATCAATAACAATGTTATCTATATAAAGGTTATATTTTGATGGATATTTAAATGTGTGTATATACAGCAGAGTACTTTATAATCTACTATTCTATGGTAATCAAACTGTGATGTCTTGCCTCGTGCTCAGGTAAAGAATCAACACGCATGGTGGGACCTGCCCAGCGCCCTGATGGTCCACCTGGACCTGCATTGCTTGACATATTTGAAGATCCAGGGACTAAAGACTTCTTGAAAGGACTTGTTACTCCCTGAGGTCGTACAGCAACTGCCAAGGTACAGACATGTAAATATAACTTTCATAAGAAAATACAAAAATTAACAATAATTTATGATTACTAGATAAAGAAAGTGATGAGAATGAAAGATGAAAGATATGAGAGAAGATGTGAGGTAAGAGGAGGAGCAAAGGCAAAGAACAACAGCAAAATAGAGTAAGAGAAAGAGAAAAATCAAAAGGAGGAGGAGGAGGGATAGAGAAAAAGGAGGATGGAAGAAAAAATATTAAAAAGTAAATTTCATCGAATTATGAGTAGAGTGTACTTGTGAATTATGTGAAGCAAAGTAAAAGACCATGTAGCATCAGTTGTTCACAATGACACTAGTATATTAATGTAGAGGCACTATGAAATTTAAGATGTTATTACTTTGTGGACGATGAGGCACAAAAATGTGGCTGACCATATATCAAACTGTACATCAGAAACTGAAGAGACTGACATTTCAGTCCATACTGGACCATTATCAAGTCATGTATTGAAGAGAGATTGGGAGATAAACAATATGAGGGAAGAGTGCGAAATAAAAGAGGATCCATAAAAGAGGATGCATAAAAGAGAAAGAAGATAAGAATAAGATGAAAGGTAAGAATAAGATGGCAAAATAAAATAAAAAATGATGGAAGGAAAATAGGATATAAGTTAAGAAAAAGATGAAAGCAAAGAAAAAATAAAAGGTAAGAAAAGTGAAAAGGTAAAAATAGAGAGAATCAGGTAAAGTAAAGGTTAGAAGTAAGGGAAGGAAAAAGGAAGAATAGGAAACACTGTATACGTTAGAAAATAGAAAGGTAAAATATAAAAGAAAACGGCAAGAAGCCTAATGGTGAAGAGAACAAAATCTAACAATGAAACACAGGAAAGTGAGCCTAGAGAAGGTAAATCTAAGTCGGATCACATTAAAGAGTAGAGCATTGAGCCCTGAAACTATCACAAAGTAACCGCAAGGTAACCAATACAAGAGAATGTTTGCCAGACGTGTTAATAATCACCCAGGAACAGTTAAGGTCTTTTTTAAAGTTTTCACAATAAAGTCAGCTATCTGGACTATTGCTAGTGCATGGGACGAGGTAAAGCAAACAATACTAAGAAACGGGTGGAAAAATTTTTGGCCTACATCAGGTCTGTTTCCTGAGAAAGATGATGAGGCAGATTTTGAAGGCTTTGCGGCCAAGAAAGTTAGTAAGAAGAAAAAATTAGGAGAGGAACTTCTATTCTATGTCAAGGAGACTAAGTCCCCAGAACAGAGAGGAAGACTGGTGAATGAAACAATAGAAGATGACATAGATAAGTGGAGAGATTATGATGAAGCAGCCCAAATCTTTCAAAACATGAGAGATGATGAAATTATAGATTTATTTACAGCAAAAAAGCCAGAAGAGTGCAATGAAGATGAAGGCAAGGAAGAGGATGAAGAAAAGTTAAAAGAAATATGTAATATAGAAAAAGTTCAGCAATATTTTGAAGGCATTCTGGCATGTATAGAAATGTGTAGCAGTGAGTTTGAAACTAAGGACATGATGAGTCTGTACAATTTGTATATGAAGCTTTTGAAATCAAGAGCAAAGAGAATGAAACAAAAAAGCTCACATTGTCTCACCTGCACCTGACTCATCACATGTTGACCCAAATGCTAAACCAAATTAACAATATTAATTGTTTATAAGAGGATAACATCAGCAGCATAAGCCAGATTGGCAAACATAACAACAGCCTTTAGGAACTTGTGTTTGGAATCATTCTGATGCTTCGAACAATCTTGTAACTAAAAAGTCAGTAATTTTATTATGTTTGGTAACATCTGAGGTTACCTTATCACCATTAATCTCCACTTCAGTCAATCCAACACCATCAACATCCACCACCACCTCTTCCATGTAAATAACAATGCTCCATCAGCAATGATAATCAAGAGAGTAAGTGGATCAGGACGTCTCGTATTGGTAAGTACAAACAAAATACTGTACTGTCGAATTTATGCTATGAAATTTGATATTTTTTCCCTAGATTTTAAGGTCACTTATACAAACACAACAGGTTAACCGACAGGTCTCAGTCCCAAGGGGTTTGTAAAGCACATGGTTGTCTGTATCTGCTAAGATTCCTGGGCACAAGGATGTCTGGAATATTAATTGGAGTAAAAGGCTCAGCTTGGTTGCACATTTTCACAGCATCCATGGTGAAACGCCATCAGGTCCAAATGCTCTACTTCTTCCTAGCACCTTGAGTAATTTTTCCACTTTGTCTTGAGATACCTCTATGTATTCTATGGTGTACTCTTGAATTGGCATTGGGTCCAACTCTATGAAATCCTCATTTTGTACAAACAGACTTTGGAACTGTTCATTTAGCATTTCACACATTTCTTTGTCATTCTCATGAGTCCTATTTCCTGTTCTCAATCTCTGGATTTTATATTTTACATACAGCTTGCTTTTAATGAATTTATAGAAAAGACCTGGTTCTGTTTTACATTTGTCCGCTATCCCTTTCTCACTCACTTCTCACTGCTGTGTATTTGTTTCTTGCTTGCTTGTAGTGCTGGCACAAAGACTAAACCACACACGAGACAACGTCGTTTCGGTCCATCCTGGACCATTATCAAGTCGATTGTTCAGGATGGACCGAAACGTCGTCATCTCCTCATCTTCTGGTGTGTGGTTGATTCTTCATATCTTTAGTCACGTTATTGTGACTCATTGTCTGGGTAGTGTTGGTAAGTTTGAGGATTAGACCTCTTCCTATATTGAACCCCTTTTCTTGTCTTTTTCTCTCTGACCCTTTCACAATTTCTGTTGAACCAATCCTGTTTTTTGGTCCTGCATCTCTGTTTTGTTATGAATATTTGTGTGCCTTCATATATTTCACAAAATTTGGTATACATCTCATTTACTTCCTTGCCTAGCAACAAGTCTGTCCAATTAAACTCATTAAAGAATTTTCAAAGTTCTTTAGTTCCTCATAGTGTCCTCTCTTGAAATCGAGTTTGTCAACTGTTTCTCTTTTTCTCTATCTCTTCTAGATTATATCCCAAAGCATATTTAATTTCCAACAGGACATGATAACTCTTTCCCAAGGAAGAAAGGTTGTGCGTGTGTGTGTGTGTAAATCACAAAGAAATTGACACATAATGAAAAATGAAACAATGTCAGAGCATGAAGAAAGGAACGAGACAGAAAATTCCTTAAGTACTGTACCTTCGTATTTGAATACTAAATCTTCAATAGGATGAAGATGTATTATTAAATACGAAAGTAAAAAAGAAAGAAAGTAATAGATACATTTTGTGTATCTAGGAAATCATTAATATACAAACATACATTAATAAAAAATATATACAGTCTATAAATCTGATCTCATTGGTTATGACATTCTTATACTTTTACAGATAAGGAGAATACAAATAGACCAGTGCTTCCCAACCTTTCTGAACTCACGGCACTATTTTCTAACTACCTGCTACCCGTGCTACACTTTTTTAATTTAAAAAATAATTACCCAACATTTTTGGACTATCCCATTTTCCAATACAGTACTCAAGAGACCTGTAACCTGCCTTGCCACACTTAAATAGTTAAAAAAAATTGTCTAATCAGGATTACTCATCATGTGCTAGAGCTCGATGATTCAGATATAGAATCAAAATGTTGCATAAGTCTGCTGATTGTGCACAATTCATCAGTGATTTTGTGAAATGGAAATAAAAATTTATTATGATTTAAAAGATAGATTTAAAACTTACCAATGTGTTTAGGTTGGGGTGTTGTGGGAGCAGACTGAGGCGGTGCTGGGACACTGAAACTGCGTAAAGGATTACCTGACCGCTTACCCAGTGTGTTACTACCTTCACCATTCACAGAACTGAAAATTTTTAAATTATAGTAAACTGCAGACAAGGAGTCACAATAATGTGGCTGAAATATGTTGACCAAACCACACACTAGAAAGTGAAGGGACGACGACGTTTCGGTCCGTCCTAGACCATTCTCAAGTCGATCGACTTGAGAATGGTCCAGGACAGACCGAAATGTCGTCGTCCCTTCACTTTCTAGTGTGTGGGTTGGTCAACATAGTAAACTGCCATTTTACATGCTGTGGAAGGCATTAATAAATCCTTTCTTTGATGTAATTTAACCTTAAAAAATACTATAAATGAGTGTTATACTCTGTTGGAGACAGCAAATCTTTATGCCATGTTGAAGTTACCCAAGCAAAGGGCATGACTATTTTATTGTGGTAATCCGTCCAGTAACTGGCTAAGTTAAAGAATTAAAAGTACCAACGGTACTTTAACTTCATTTACTTAGCAATATGATCATCATTTATAGTCAACAGTTTGAGCATGGTGATTTCACATGTAATATTTAATGTCAAAATATTTCTGATACAAACCTGCTGTATCAGAAATGTATACAATGTTTCCTTGTAATATCCTGAAACCCCACACCATATTCCTTCAGCAGTCTTGGCTTTCCTACCTGGTTTAGATTGAGATTATAATGCATTGTAGTGGGTCCCTAACTTAAGAACATCTGATTTATAAGGATCTGATCTTGTGAATGGCTTCACAGTCCTCATTTTAGCACCTAGTCTTACTATATGAATCAATTTTGAAGCCCATACATTATAAGTAGTGCTACTAATGTGCTATTTAAATTTTTTAATCAAGGGAAAGTGCCTCAACAGTGGCTGATAAGATGAAGTGTGTTGATAGTTCACTAGTACATATACATCATCATCATCATTTACTGCCCTCTCTTTTAAATAAATAAATAAATGTTTATTCAGGTAAAGTACATACATACAAGAGGTTTTATAAAAATTATAGTAATTATACCATTTCATTACACAAGAGAGTAATCACACTATCGTGATGCATCGATGAGAAAATCAACAGGAGAAAATCCTCCTGTGGATTTTCTCTGATGCATCACAATGGTGTCATTACTCTCAGTGTATTGAAACAGGAGCGTCAGAGGTAGAACATTCAAAGATGGCAGAGCCAGAGTGCATGGGGGGGATTGTGTGAGACTGGTTCAGCTTCAGAGGAAGCCTCATGAATCCTAAAAGGTGCAGTAGTACCCCAGGTTACAATCCTTTCGACCATGTCATGGCCTAGTTGTCTAGAACGTGTGCCTGGGAACACCGAGCACACAGATTCGAATCCTCATCACGGCTCCTACAGATTTTCTTACATCACTTCATTCTTCAAAGAGCACCAAAGCAGACACATAGGACAACATCATTCAGTATAATTAAAAAGCAGTATTTCTTAAATTATTTGTCAAAACAATTTGGATTACTGTATATGTTCATTGATTTTTGGTGGTCTGGGAATGCCTTCCCCGTTTAAAGCATTTTGCCTATGAGAAATATAGTTCTGAATTATAAACTAATAATGTAAATATTTTGTTTTTAATACATCCTGTTTGTAAGTTGCAGGGTGCCTGTATCTCAAATTATTTTTTACTATCCTTACTCTTTTTCTCTCTCTTGTGCTATGTGTTTCTCACTGAATATTTAACTTGTCCCAACCTTCTACTGTACTGAACTAAAAATAATGCATTATGAAATCCCAATACAGGTAATGTTATGTATATATGAGAAAATATTACAGGAATGAATGAGTTTAAACTTGCATCTTTGGACTTTCCACAAAACACCCATTAACCACTGTACCATGATGGCCTCAAGTATCTGAACGAGAAGTTCTTCCAGAGATGAAAATTTCGTCCTACTCATTATCAAAGACACACATTCAGTTTTATCAGCACAGTAACCGGACCAGGCAATGTGATGTAGTCATTCTGCGAATTCGCTAACAGCTGGCAGGTTAGTGAAGCTGAGCCACTACTAGAATATTCAGATTGTAAACTCTGTGATAAACTTTTATTAAATGCATTCACTAGAATGCATTAAAGGTTTGGCAATTTTCAAACCTTTGGTACCAAGATGACCAGTTTCTTGGTACCTTTCTCATTCTTTGTGAATGTATGTGTATGGGGAGCACAGTTAGAGGGTTAATAAAACCTGCAAAGTGAATATTTGCAGAAAACATTTCAATATCTAACTAGGCTTTTACCATGTCTAACAACTTAACTCAAAAACCATTCTAGAATTATTTTTACCTGTATTGGGATGGCCCAGGAGGTCCACCAAGACCTCCCAACAGTGGCTGTGTAGGTTGGGGTGGCAGAGGCATGCCATCGAGAGGCATATTACCTGGCCCAAGCATTGCAGACATACCACTACTGTAAGTAAAATATGATGCAAAAATATTAGTCTTGTCAATTTACAATCAATCTGCAAACAGTTGCACAGTAAGTAATCCTAAGTTCCTGCATTTCTTATGTCACTCTAATGTCTTTCAAAACTTGTCCATTCATGTATAGTACTTCATGTCATATTGTCATTTCTGATCATAAAGCATATTGTCACTCCAATGTCAATTGACATTGTCAATTGTCACTCCAATGCCAATTGACATTGTCAATTGTCATTGACAATTGTCATTGTCAGGTAAGAGTCCTACTTCTCTTACTCAGCAAATTCCAGCATGGATTAGTGTGAGCATCATCCTCAATGTAATAGGGATTTTTTTAAAGTGTCTTTGTGGACCATATGTGTAAGAAGGAGACAATGGAGAATTCTTAATCCAATCCTGGGTAACCTCATCAGATGCATTCCTCTTCACTCAAATAATCTCCTACAAGTGACACTTTGATTAGAAAGAGACCACCAAGTATTACTCTGCTAGTGCTAACTACCTTTGCTTCATATGCAGTGGGCCTATGTTTTCAGTGAATGTTCCGCGTGCGTGTGTGTGTAATTACCTAAGTGTAATTACCTAAGTGTAGTTACAGGATGAGAGCTACGCTCGTGGTGTCCCGTCTTCCCAGCACTCTTTGTCATATAACGCTTTGAAACTACTGACGGTCTTGGCCTCCACCACCTTCTCACTTAACTTGTTCCAACCGTCTACCACTCTATTTGCGAAGGTGAATTTTCTTATGTTTCTTCGGCATCTGTGTTTAGCTAGTTTAAATCTATGGCCTCTTGTTCTTGAAGTTCCAGGTCTCAGGAAGTCTTCCCTGTCGATTTTATCAATTCCTGTTACTATTTTGTACGTAGTGATCATATCACCTCTTTTTCTTGTGTCTTCTAGTTTTGGCATATTTAATGCTTCTAACCTCTCCTCGTAGCTCTTGCCCGTGTGTGTGTGTGTGCGTGTTTGTGTATCCACTGTCTTACAAGCCTTTACCAACTGGCAAAGGCAAAGATTTTGTAGCCTGGTTTGTGGTCAGATCACTGTCTTTCTCATCTAAATATTGGGGTTAGGTGTTTATCTGACAATGTTTACTTTTGCCTGGCACACATGTCAAATCTGTATTCTATGCATCCTGAAAGTTATTTATCTGGTTTCCTATACTGAGTGGGTTATGATGTGTCTTCCATTCTATTAAGAGTTGGATTTTCCTGCTTCCTGCTTTTTTGGAGAGGGTTATGGTGTGATAATCTCACCTAAAGGTGTAAGCTGTCTTGAAAACACAGCTTACACCTTTCAACAGCTGCCTGGTCAACAGCCGGGCAGCTGTTGAGCTCTGCTCTTTGTTGTGGAAGCTGTGGCCCTCGGCTCTTGAGACAGCAACTGTTGGCCATTGCTTTTTTCGAGCAACTGTTGGCCTTTGAGTTTTGTGATGGCTGCTGTGGGGCCCTGCCCTTGAAGCAGCAGCTGTTAACCTTTGCCCTTATTGGGCAGCTCTAACAAGGGTAAAAGCTTGTCTAACAAGGCTTTTACCTTTGTTAGACACCTGTATACCTCTGACACTTCCAAAATTAAACCCAACCATACAATTTCTTCAAAAACCATAAATGCCCAGGAAATCTTTGCGATACAAGTTATAGTTTAAGGGTTAAAGATAAATCCTTGGATAAAAATCTATTTGTTGAGGCTAAAGAGACCTAAAGGTGTAAGTCATAGGATATGATGATCTTCATAGGATATGTATGGTCATGTTTGAGAGCAATATTTGATCTGTGTTGGTGAACTTGACCTTCACTGCTTAAAACAAGTTTCTGCTTTCAAAATTAATAATTAACATAGTGTTAAATGTATCCATATATCTTTAGTAGTTCACAAATTATTGAGTTGGCACAAGAATGCTTTGAACTTGAATACAAAGTAGTAAATTAACAGATAATTACAATCTAGTAGTCTTGCTAAGGTTTTTAATGGCATAAAAGCAATAACAGGTATTTTGCAAAATTTTAAAGCAAGGGGCTCACTCTAGTGAATCTACATCAATAATGTGTCATTATTCAAATAATAATACTTATAAGAAGGAAGTTCAAAGACAGTATTTTTAAACAAGGCTCAATGAGCCTTCTTTAAAATTAAACCCAGGTGAGCACCCAATGGTGCTCATTGGTACCTAATGCTAGTTATGAAATAGTATATATATTTTTAATGGTACCTGGTTGGGTTAGGGCTATATGGATTTTCTGCAGGTGAATTGTAGCCTTGGCTAGCAGCAGAAGAAAACTGTGGCATGGAGTATCCTGGTCGACCAAGAGTACCATCACTGTATACACTGCTTGATGTACTACCACCAACCACTGAAAACAAAAGAAAGTGAAAATGTTTTATGTAGTCAAGCACAACATACTATTTACACAACAATAACAAACTTACCTTATAGATTATTATTCAAATACAGTCCACCAACTATTCACATAACATAAATCTTTATTGCCAATGCTCATGTTAGTTCCAGTAATCACTATAAAATAAGTACAGTAAATGGAAATTAGTATATATTCCTATTGTATATAACAACTGTTAAGATATGTTGAATACAGAACAACAGCTAAAATTAGTTTACATTTTTATCGAGTTATTTGGCTAGTTATAGCCAGCTAGCCAAATAACGGGGGTATTTAGTTATAATGTAAGTCAAGTCATCAGGCAATCATTTCATAGCAGTTAAACAATTATTATTATTATTATGTTACAACTAAAATTCTATTTATCACATTAACAATTTATGTTAATGACTTTTGATCAAAATACAGTAGGCTCCTCTCTGGAAGTGGGGGTTTTGTAATTACACTCCAAGTTCTCATGATGTCCGTAAGTTTGTGGACTTATTGGCTTTGTTTGCCAACACCAACTGCATGCTGATGTTGGACTCTGATTATTTGGTGAATGTATCTTGGCTGCACTACAATTGTGATGACCTTTGGAGTGTGTTTCAATAGTGAGTGCCTCAGCATATTACCATTTCTTCAACCCCCTCTCTCTCCACTGGTAAGCCCTGGTCCTCTTTTTATTTTCTGTTTTTTGTATGTTTCTATTTCAGAATTGAGAGTTTGTTGAAACTGTATTGTGAGATAGCATTTGGGAGCTACTGAAGGGGCTCTTCCAAAACTCCAGTGTTGAATGTAATGAAATACCTCTATCTAGTAGGCCACTCAGTGGCTTCCATCCCTGGTCATTATTATTCATTCCCATAGAGTTGAGGCAGGGTGGACAGTATGTGAATGTGCCATTTGACTGACTTGGGACCCCAAGTTGCCTAACCTGCCATCTGGTAGTGAGTATATGTACAGTAGGTGGTAATCTGGCCACAGAAACAATTGTTTGCATCATTCCATCTGGGAGTTACAAATTTGTCCAAGTAGTTCCTGTTTTGGAACTCTTCGATTTTCTAGTGGGTCTTCTGCTTGATTCTGTCGTGATCTTTGGTTCCAAGGCTTCCCTTCGTCTCTCTGAGTGGGCCAAATTCAAATCCTGTCCCATGGTAGACACTTGTGTGTCGTAGGGTCCTAGTGTGTTCCACAAGGCTTGGCTGTTTCCAGGTTGTAGCATAGGGAGCAACTGAGTGGGCACTCCCAGAAAAATTATATAAATACAGTCTTAATATCCGATCATTCCATGGATTATGAATTTATATATTTCCAACACAATACACTAATTACATTTAGTTCCTCATTTATGGTAAGAGTAAGATGCACAAAGTATTAAAATCCCCAAAATATGTACAGTACCAACATACAATATTAACAAAAACACAAAGCTTATCATATATAATATGCAAACATTAAACACAAAGCTGCCTCTTGAAAAGATGCCGAGACAAAATTTCCAAGTCACATTACCATTTATAGCTGTGTGGTTAATATGTAGAAGGCAAAAATTATAAGAAATTTTCACCAAAACAGCATTAGACATGCTATTATACAAGTTTCACTACATCAAGCTCAGATAGAGAAGGTGTTATATCGAGTATGCAGAAAAGTGGTTACTACTTACGATCATTTGAAACATCCAAAGACATAATGAGAGGTTTGGGTTTGAAGGATCGACGGTTCAACAATTTATCCGTTTCATCATCACTCAGTTGATCACCTACAAGGATATTAAAAAAAAAAAAAAAGAAAAAAAAAGTAGGGATATACAAGCAACATAGAAGGTCTACAAAAAACATTCATGCCAAATAAACACAATTAAAAGAAAAGATGTAGTAACAAACTGAAGAACTTCAACAATCACCTGCAGACATCATAAACATTCACACAGTACCTGTACTGCAATTTACCTGTTAGCATCTATACCAAACCCTGGAAACTAAACCCCAAATGTTCAATGCAAATTCTATTTAATAATCATTGAAAATGGCCAAAATATTTTATAGATTTTTTAAGATATCCTATTGGAATTATTTAATAAACTCAAAATTCCTTATTTTTCATCAATGAACAATGTTAAAAATATTCACCAAGTTTTCTTTTACCATTACTATTGACTTGGATTTTATTTATAGCCTATGCCTCAAGCAAGAATATGTTGCCTGCTTAATACTAGGACCATGAACGTAATGATGAGTAATACTGAGAGAGAACAGCATATTTCCGTCAGTTGATTAACTATGAGTCCCCATTTTATGAACATCCGCTTCACATACACCCATCCATTGGAATGATCTCATAAGTCCCTGTTTTTGACCTTTAATCCATTATATATGTATTTATAAACATATATATTTTCTGTAGAGAGCCCCTTCAGCTCCCTGGAGTTATACTGGGCTGATTTGTATATATTAGACAGTGGCAACAGTCAATCGATGGAGTTCTAAGCCTACTGGGGACCACGAGCCAGAACCTGACCCTCCTCAGAGAGGCCCAAGGAGCAATGGCCTATAGGCACCCGCATGTAGTTGGAAGCGGTCTATATTTGCCATCTACGGGCGCCTGACAGCTGAGTGGACAGCACTTCAGATTCGTAGTCCTGAGGTTTTGGGTTCGATCCCTGGTGGAGGCGGAGACAAATGGGCAAAATGTTTCTTTCACCCTGATGCCCCTGTTTCCTAGCAGTAAATAGGTACCTGGGAGTTAGACAGCTGCTACGGGCTGCTTCCTGGGGGTGTGTAACAAAAAGGATGCCTGGTCGAGGACTGGGCTGCGGGGACGCTAGCCCCGAAATTATCTCAAGATAACTCAAGATAACCAGGTCAGGTACCCAGAAGGGTAGGAATCACAAAACAAATTACAGCTGGTTAAAAATAGCAAACTGAAAGGCAAACGAGCAAGCAGAACTTCCCAATCAGAAAACAAGCAAACAAGCATATGACATCATCACATTCACCATGTTGCTGTCTGTGCAGCTCCCCCCATCCCAAGGTGGGGAAAGAGGGGCCCCAGACCTAATGTGTCGGCTACCCAACCCCAGTTCTGAAGCTGTTGTGTTGGGTGCCTGGTGTGGCTGTAGGACCACTTATATTATTTGGGTGACCCTCCACTAGGTCCCCATGATTGCACATGTCGCAGGGGTTCAGCATTTTGTTTGCTTGCTTGGTAGTTTTGGGATAACTAGTTGGCAGTACCTTGCCTAGGCTTCCCTTAGCAGTTAGCCTAAGGGCCCTGGAAATCCCCAATGGGGCTCATTACTCCAATGGATGCATCCTCTGAGTCCCATCTCACTTCGTGAGAGTTTGAAGGTTGCTCTATGCCCTTGTCTCAGGGTGACACTCACAGTTTTTGACTCCGCCATGCTGCCTGTTGGGTTGATGACACCTTTGATCCAGAGTCCTGTGAGTGGTGTTCCTTGCTTGTACTCCAGTTCACCCAGTTCACTGCTATTGATATTCAGGTGCAAGCAGGTGCAAGCAGCTTCAGCGTTGCATGCGAGGTTTAGGTTGCTGCAACACGCTCGGTTGGTTTCCTTTCCGGATGCCCCGAGGCTGCCCTGCTTTGATTATAGAGACCGTGACTTGGGGGTGTTAGCCTTTGGTCCTTCCCGCTTCCGGCTCCCAAGTGTTTGAGGGTTTCGGAGTTGGGGCAGGGCTTTCTTGATGTTGAGACTTGGGCGGCTTCGGGGACTGCCCCTTCTGGATTGGCGGCAGAGGCATTTGAGTCTGTTCCTTTTGACAGGGCTTCCGGGTCGTGCCAGTGGACATCCCCCTTCTTTCCTGATTTTCTGGTGAACTCTACCTTTTCTCCAAAGGCAGGGGGTTTGGAGGATGGCTCTGCCCCCGGGGCCCTGCCGTGGAGGATCCTGGGGTTGGGAAGGAGATGAATTAGGGGGCTTGGGCCCTATTTGACCCTGCTTTGGTGTTAGTATCCTCGGCGCAGCGCTTGATGTTACGGGGGGAAGGGGTTTTCCTATCCCCCCTCCCTGTACAAGTTTGATACGAGTTCGTCTCCTCCCCAGATTCGGTTCCGGGTGTCCTTAGGATCCTCGACTCCCTCCTTCTGGAGATTTTTGGCTTCCAGTATCCCACCTAAGGAGGTGTGGGAGGCCATTGTGGCTTACCTCCGGCGAGACCTGGATTATATCTCGATAACAGATCCTTCTTCTTTTGAGTTTGACCCCTCTTTTCCTTACTGGGTGTGTTACAAGGTGCCAGAGTTTTCCTGGCTGGTAGACTGCCCTTTCTTTTTGTTGAGGGCTTCCCTGCAGAGCTATACGGAGGCTGCTGTGACACCATGCTTGTTTGCGTGTTTTCTGATTGGGGAGTTCTGCTTGCTCGTTGGGCTTATGGTTTAAAATTTTTAACCGGCTGTAGTTTGTTTTGGGATGCCTACCTTTTTGGGTGCCTGACCTGGTAGATGGCAGATATAGACTGCTTCCAACTATATGGGGGTGTCTATAGGCCATTGCTCCTCTTGCCTCTCTGAGGGGCCCAGGTTTTGGCTCGTGGTCCCCAGTAGGCTTAGAACTCCATCGATTGACTTACCATGGTCTAATATATATACACATCAGTTTGGCATAGCTCCGGGAAGCCTCCGTGTCTCACTCAGAAAATGGCGTTTCATTACATTCAATGCTGTTTTTTTTTTATTTTTTATAACAAAATATATAGGGGGTACTATCTCCGGTTGTGTTTGTAGGAACCCTCGGCCTTATAGAGGAGGATACACACACACACACACGTTTGATGATGATGCAAAGATAATAGGGAAGATAAGAAGCTTGAATGATTGTCATGCCCTTTAAGAAGACCTGGACAGAATAAGTATATGGAGCACCACTTGGCAAATGGAATTTAATGTAAATAAATGCCTTGTTATGGAATGTGGAATAGGAGAAAATAGACCCCCCCACACAGCCTATAAATTATGTGAGAAATCTTTGAAGAAGTCTGATAAAGAAAGAGATCTAGATGTGGTTTTTAAGATAGACAACTATCACCTGAGAATCACATTAAGAACATTGAGCGAGGGGCCAATCCTACACTTTCTAACTTCAGAATTGCTTTTAAATATGTTGACCAAACCACACACTAGAAAGTGAAGGGACGACTACGTTTCGGTCCATCCTGGACCATTCTCAAGTCGACTGTGCATTCACAATCGACTTGAGAATGGTCCAGGACAGACTGAAACGTCGTCGTCCCTTCACTTTCTAGTGTGTGGTTTGGTCAACATATTTCAGCCACGTTATTGTGACTCCTTGTCTTGCTTTTAACCCTTAAATTGCGCAGAGCTATATACCATTTGACACCCACAGGCGCATAAAAAAAAAAAAAAAAAAATTCTTCCTAACCTGTTAATTTGTGTTCACTGATCACGGGAAAAATAATAAAAAAATCCTAAGTGGCATATATTGCCTGCTATAGGGCGGGGAATTCTGGCAAAAAATAGGCGCCGACTCAGCATGCGTCCCAGGCGGTCTGTTGATCGCCAGCTGTCAGGCCGGAGTTGCCAGAAAGATAATTACCTAATTATTTCAATGTCTCTGATTGATTTTTCGTAGTTTTTTTGCTGTAATATTATTCAATAGTGTGTAGTGTGATATATTTATAAAATAAAATGAGTGAATCATTGCTGTACTCAAAAATATGGTGTGCATATTGTTGATTCAATTATGTTCATCAAACAGTGAACAAATACTTCGTCGGTTATTACACTATATACAGAGGTTATATGTAAGTATCTGCATGTTTTGTTCACCATAACGAACCACTAAGTTGCTATTATGAGTCAAAAAGTAACGAGGAGTGACCGCCGTGTACCAGCTAGCCACTCACGCCCTCCCTCAAGTCACCTGACTCACCCACATTCTCCTCCCACAATACTGTTTTTGCTTTTATTCACTATATACAGACGCTATATATAAGTATCTACATTCGTGTTCACCATATCAAACCACTAAGTTGGTATGCTGAGTGGCAGTGGCAGCCCGCCACTGGCTACCACTCCCTCCCTCCCTCACCTCACCTGACTTGCCACCATTCTCCACCCACCATACTGTTTTTGCTTTTATATACAGTACAACCATTGTGATGGGATCCCTGGATTTGAAAGTTCTCATAAAAGAAAGTCCCGAGGTGACTTGTGGAAGGGGGGCCACAAGGGTAGAACTTACAGGGCACATAGGGAAGGTGGCCCTAGGTGCATGTAACCCCAAGTACCAAAGAATATTACTCCTGGCTCACACACTCCCAGTAGAGACAGTCCATGCCCAAGACACAGAAACCAAGACAAATCACTGGAGCCAGAGGCACAAGACCACACCAGTAGCACATCAGCCTGAGAACTGCAGGGTGAATTGCCGGTGTGGGGGTCTGGGGCTCCCCCCATCCCCCTCCCGGGGGTGGGGTGGTTGTGCAGCCAGGGAAGCGGCAACACAATGACATCATGCTCGTTTGTCAATTTTTGTTTGGGGAGTTCTGTCCACTCATTCGGCTTTCGGTAGCAATAGTTTCACCAGAATAGGTGTTTGTTTTGGGGCGCCTACCTTTCTGGGTGCCAGATCCGGTCGATGGCAGACATAGAATGCTCCCAACCACATGGGGGGGGGTTTCTACAGGCCATTGGTCCTCGTACTTCTCTTGAGAGGGGGGGGGGCCAGGTTCTAGCTCATGGTCCCTGGTAGGCAAGCACTCCATGCACATTGACCAATGCCAG